TGAAAAAGCTAGTCTTCTGAAAACAGCTGAGCTACTGTCACATTACTGAAAAATGCTACAACTTTTAGTAGTTAAACAGTGCATTTATCTGTCAGCCTCTCAGTATCTCCCTCATAAACACACACACACACGAACAGACAACCTGTGATGCTGTACACACAATACACTTTCACTCGTTTATGAACAGTATTTATTACGTCGTTTAAATTATAGCTGTGTTTAGTTGAAACACTACAGCGGATACTGTGCGATCATGATTAATGTTGATTGGATTGAGCGGGGCAGATTTCTCAGGAGAGAGGTGCAGGTATGCCGGCTGAACCTGCAGCTACGGGTGCTTTTCCTGCTCCTCTGTGCCCTTCTTTCCTCCACAGCAGCACTGTAAGAGATTACGGCCGGAGTAATTAATCACAGAGGATTATTACTGCTGTTGTGTGGTTTTGTGGAGAGGCCTGAGGCTGCAGATGAGGATTCTGCATGGGTTTGGGATCATTCGGTTTAAGGGTTTGTTTTAAGGAGGGAGACAATGCGAGTCTTGTGCGTCCTTGGAGTATTCTTGTCTTTTATTGATGTGAAATCCCTCTCACACATGCTGTATCGTTGTGTGTGATGCTGTATCGTTCCTGTGCTGTGTGTTTTCAGGATGAGTATGTGGACCATTCTACTAAATTTGTGGTACCACAGTAAAAATAATTATTTTAAAAAATCTATTAAATATTCATGTATTGGGTATTTCATAAAGATGTTATGATCCACTTAAACCCAAATCATTAATTGAAATGATAAAAAAGCTAAATATATGCTAAATAAAATTGGTGGAGTACTTTCTATTATGAGGTGTGTGTGTGTGTGTGTGTGTGTGTGTGTGTGTGTGTGTGTGTCTGTCTCTGTCTGTGTCTGTGTCTGTGTGCGTGTGCGTGTGCCTGTGTCTGTGTGTGTCTGTGTGTGCGTCTGGTTTGTGTTTGTGTTTGTGTGTGTGTGTGTGTGTGTGTGTGTGTCTGTGTCTGTGGGTTTGTGTGAGTGTGTTTTAGTTTTTAAAGATCTGTTTTATTTCTACGAAAGGACACAGCACACGATGTAGATACTCGTTGTTTGATTTTAATAATAAATAATTTAAAAAATATTTTAATAATAATTAAAATAATTAAATAGATTTAGATAATAATAGATGGTAATAATAATTAAAAAGATGTAGATACTCAGTGTTTAATTTTTAATAAAAAATAATAAAAATATTTAAATAATAATGAAAATAATTAAATAATAATGATAAAAAAAAGTTAGTAAAACACTTTCATGTCACTACCGAAACACAGAATGATTTAGCTTATTGGCAGAGCCTGATTTTAGCTGTGTCCATTTATTTTTTACCAGAACGTGAGATTTCCAGAGTGTTTGTGATTAGATCCCATTATTTTGAAGTACAGTAAATGTGCCCCCAGAGTCCGAAAATCCTGTTTGTAACTTTAGAGCTGTCAATATTTTATGCAATTAAATAAACGTTTTGGGGTTTTAATCTAAAATGTAATGTTTCCAGACATGTGCTGGCTAGATTTTTTTTTTTTTAAGTAATGCTCAAAATTACCTTAAAAACATCGCAATATCAAACAGAGTTTCAGTCCTGATGTGAGTATTTGAGTAGTGACTAAATTTAAATCAATAAACATAATTAAAGGATCGGGAAAGACTGTACTGTAAACATACTGAAAAAAGATGTTCTCAGGTTGTCGAATAGTACTGTTTATTTCACTCGCTTGTTTTAAAATGATGGTGATTTCTGTTTAAGTGTAAAGTTAAAATTCAAGAGTAGTGTTTGTCCTTCAAAATACAATAATGATGGGAACAATTGATTGTCTTTAATATAATGGCTTTTTATTGAGATTGTTGACAGTTGAAAATCTTTTAGAAAAATCTGTTAAAAAAATTTTACAGGGAGGTTGAAAATAACAGATAAATAAAATAGATAATAGATCAATATTAGTGCTTTCAAACGATTAATCGCGATTAATCACATCCAAAATTATTTTTTTTGTTTACATAATATATGTGTGTGTACTGTGTATATTTATTATGTATATATAAATACACACACATGCATGTATATATTTCAGAAAAATATGTTATGTTTATATATTAAATATATTTATTTACAATATAAATTATATGAATATAAATATTGACGTGTATTTATATATACATAATGAATGTACACAGAACACACACATATATTATGCAAACAAAGACTTTTATTTTGTATGCGATTAATCGTTTGACAGCACTAATAAATATAATCCTTTGTAATATAGTGAATACAAATGTGCATGAGGTGTATTCCATAACAATATGAAAATATTGTATGCAAATTGAATGTTCTTTTACTAGAAGCATGGCATGAAAAGACAAACATTTTTAAATATGTCTTACTCTAAATTTAAACCCGTTCTGTAGAATGGTTACAAAGTGTGTTCCCTCAGCCGTTCATCCTGAGATAAAAGAGTTTAGAGTTAAGTTCATTCTATTATGTGTTAATTGATGAGGCTAAAAGGTGATCAGTGTTTCTGGATCAATATTTGATCATTTCACACTTTTCTCACAGCACTGTGATTCAGGCGTTTGTATCATTTACTCCACAATCCTTTCAGTTTCACAAAGCTTTTTCATGCATTGACGTTCTCAAATGCACTGTAAACTTCGCCCAAACAAACCTGCGCAAATAAACAGCATCACACCCCGCAGCTGCTCATCCGTCCTGCTTTAGCACGGCTTCAGCTCGACACTCCCGCACGCTTGAATTCAATATCCTATCTCACATGTCCGCTTAATGTTATTTCAGGAGCCGGTAACCTCCTTAAGTCGGCGGTGTTATATCAATGAATTGCTGCTGTGTAAAGAGGAACAGAAAGTTTCCGCTTCTGCGTGTGGCTCTACGGTTGCGGATAAACCCGATAAAGCTGAAGCGCTTGATTCAATCTAAATGGCGGGCCCCTCTGAGCCCCCGTGTTCAACGGACCAGCACTCCATCAATCACTGATAATGGGCCCCGGCCATTTCTCTCTGATGTTTACCTTATTGCATCGGATTCTAACGAGCCATCGCTGCTAATCAGCCCACTGGATGACGGAGGCGGATGGATTTGTTTCTGTGTGATCATTTCAATGAAACATGGTCCTGCATGCCTACATGACTCTAGGGGCCCCGAGCTGCAATTACACACATAATCACAATTGAATTTCAGCGGAGGCTCCACTATCCATCCTGCCAACCAAACTGGGATTAAGTGCAGATGAAGTGAAAGTCTTTAGCTTTCTGCTGCAGATAGTGACGCGTTATCTAATGCTGTGATTATGATATATCTAATGTGTGCATCATCAGCTTCAGCTCCTATACAGACGGATGACAAAGGAAAATCCAGTGGCTCTGTTAAAACCCATTAATGCCATGAATGATCATTATGATGATTACTATATGTGACCCTGGGGCACAAAACCAGTCATAAGGGTCAATTTTTTGAAATTGAGATTTGTGCATCATCTGAATATGAAAGCTGAATAAACAAGATTTCCATTGATGTATGGATTGTTAGGATAGGACAATATTTGGCCGAGATACAACTATTTGAATATTTGGAATCTGAGGGTGCAAAAAAATCTAAATATTGAGAAAATCATCTTTAAAGTTGTTCAAATTAAGTTCTTAGCAATGCATATTACTAATAAAAAATTAAGTTTTGATATGTTTACGGTAGGAAATTTACAAAATATCTTCATGGAACATGATCTTTACTTGATATCCTAATGATTTTTGGCATAAAAGAAAAATCGATAATTTTGATTATTGCTACAAATATACCCCAGCGACTTAAGACTGGTTTTGTGCTCCAGGGTCACATATTAGCATCCACACCAACAAACAATAACGCTCTGTTTATTATAAGCACACACTGCAGCTTTAAATGCATACGCTCTCAGGGGTGGATTCTGATTGGCTGTTAATGTTTTGTTTTTGAGTCATCTGTGGAAAAAAAATAAGAAAAAAAAAGTTCTGAAAGTGATTCCAACAATATTGACTGAATGGCTTGATGAGGATGAAAATCATGTGCATGTCCTTCACAGTCACCAGAATTCACCAATGGAAGTTTTTGGGCCAATATGACAGTATTCTCCACCACCATCATCAAAACACCAAATGAAGGAATATCTTATGTACAATTTGGTTTCCATCCCTCCAGTAGGCACCAAGTCACATTGATGGCAATGAGCGGGTTTGGCTCTAAGGAGAGAAGCGGAGAGACAAACTGAGCTCGAGAAGAGTTAAATACGCTGGTTAAAAGACTTGTGGAGCATTGGTAGACAGAAACTGAGGGTTGTTCGGTTTTAGCATGCCAACCACATCGTGCCTGTTTTCTAATGTCCACTCAAACAATCATATTATCCACTTGAATTTGGACTGAACTGTACAATTTGCTTTTCTTAATGACTGTGATTACCCTCCCCTCTCCTTTCACTTGAAAGTTGAAACTCGTAGAAGGTAATGTTATGAGGGACTCAATTTTGCATGACTCCTCTCATCAGCGAGTGAAACAGCAATAAAGGCAAATTGCTCCTGGGAGACGCGAACGCTTTAGAATAAATTACGTGCGGGAACAGAGGTATAATTAATTTACAGGCTGTATTGATAGTCCCCCTTCACTGCTCACTATATGTCTTCATCTCGGCTAACGTCTTCATTATGTGGAGGACAGGAGAGAAGCGAGTCAACAGACTAAATGAATTGCCATAAGACTTGTACACAAACTGTTTCCACCGCGTAAGGGTTTCTCTCAGGCTTTTAATTAGCACGCTGAAAAATTATTTGATAAGTATGTGCTTAAGGTGTGCAAACTGGGAGAAGTGTACATATGCAGAGAGACCTTAAAGCATAAAAGACGTCCTAATGATGTATTAAATGTGCTGTTTATAACTCATTACTAATATTGCAATGTGCTTTTTTTCTTATTTCAGCTAAAACCGATGAAGCACTGAAAGCAAAGGAGAGTACGAGAGAGGAAAAGACAAAGGAGGAGGGTGAGCCGAACTTTAAGATGTTTAACCTGCAGCTAACAGAGGAAACATATTGAAGCCTGGCAAGGAATTAAAAAAGTAACATTTGTATCTCACAATTCAGAGTTTTTCTTGTAGTTTTCATTTGATAATTCTGAGTTTATATATTAGGATTCTGACTTTATATCCCGCAATTCTTAGAAAAAAAGTCAGAATAGTGAGAGATAAAACAAATATTGTAAGATAAAATGTCACAAGTTACCGTTTTTTACCATTTCGTTTTTTTCTTTTTGTTGTGAATAAGTGTGGTCATATTTTCCAAAATCCAGTCAATCACAAATGTCACTGTCCACTGTCTATTGCCAATAATGCAATAAAAAAAATAGCCAGACAGCAGTAAATGTGAACACATCTTAAAGGGTAACTGAGCAGCAAATCAGCATATTAGAATGATTTCTGAAGATCATGTGACACTGAAGACTGGAGTAATGATTACAGAAATACATTACAGTTTAACAGATATTCACATAGAAAACAGATATTTTAAATTGTAACAATATTACTGTGTTTCGATCAAATAAATGCAGCCTTGGTGAGCAGAAGAGACCTAATAAAAAAACATTTAAAAATCATAATGTTTCCAAACTTTTAACAAGTACTGTATATATTCCATACAGCCCAAGTTAATTATTTATCATTATTAAATAATAAATTATATTTATTTATTATAATTTTGCATGATATTGACATCATTCACTTGTTCCTTCTGAAAGCATGTTGAACTTTAGTGATATTGATACATAAATGTGTGTGGTTATGGTCTCTCACCTTCAATTCATTAGAACTTGAAAATCGGTATATCATTTCATAATTTCAGCTCATCTCCAGCATGATTCCCTCATTCTCTCATGGATCTCGATTCCTGCGCTGGCAAACTCGCAGTCTTTCTTAAGCAGAGTTCATGCTGTAATCTCACCCCTTGGAGTCAATTGACTTCTCCTCCTTCTGAAACCCTTTCATTTCTCTCAAAACTCCTCCTGTTTTATGAAGGAACGCATTCTTCCTGCCTAGTGCTGGAAGGCTCTTAACACCACCTCAACCCCGCTTTGGTAACATGCATAAATAGTCACAATTACAGTCTTTTGGAAGTGTCTTTAGCCACCGAAAACTCAGTTTCTCAATTTCTCTGTCCTCACGATGTGGAAGTGACACAGTGAAAGCAGGTTTTGGTCTGGCCTTAATCTTCACTCGCTCATGATGAACAATCCAGCTGAACTGTGAAAATGAACACTATAAAATGAAGAAAACACAGTACTTACTGCTGGACAGCTGAGATTTGTGACTGCAGATATGTGTGCCTGTATTATATCAGCACTCTTTCCTAGTAAATAAATCAATTCTCATTGTTTTACTGGGGATTTCACACAACATACTTCCGAATGGAGCCCATCTACCTTTTAAAATCAAACTACAAAAAATATTTCGGTTTTTATTAGGGCTGTGAAGCGATTCTTTTTTTTTTTTTTTTCTAAATTACATGATATGCTGATTAATTAATTAATAGCAAATGAATCACATCAGTTTGGGCTGAGAAATTACCCCCTAAATGATTAAGTCATTGTTGTTTTAAATGAGAAAAGCATTGAATAGACGAAAAAGTACAACAAACAAAAAAAGTAGCTTTAGAAAGAAATATTTGATTTCAACAAAATATTTATTACACACAAAATTTTAAGGCTACAATGTGGCCATAACATTGTTTTCAGAAGCTGCATTTGAAGTGGCATTTAGGCTGTTCAGAGACAGCATGAATGCATTTACACTGTAATTACAGTTACATAAATCATTCTGAGATTAATGGCGTTTAAATGTGCATTAATGGGTTTAAAAAATATTAAAATATGAATTGGTTTTTAAAAAGATGAGATGATACTCTAAATAGGAATCTAAAACGGTCAGTAGGTAACTGTCAGACTGTCAACAAACAGCTGATTTATTCAGAAACAAAGCAAATTACTCTTTATGAACGAGTCACTGAATCATTGACTCACTCGATTTGTTAAAAAATGCGAATTCATTCAGTAACAAAACTGCTGTTTATTGCTCGGAGAGGCACAACAATTCTATTTTCATTTGCCAAACTGAGCAAAAACAGACAATATTGTATCTAAAATGTAACATAATATTAACTTCGTGTTTATTGAACTGTTAAATCTGGTTAAATCGACAGTCCTAATTTTCTTTTGTTCAGTTTAAATTACATTTACATTACATTTAGTCATTTAGCAGACACTTTTATCCAAAGCGACTTACAAATGAGGACTAACAAACGAACAACAATATATAAGTGCAAATGACAAGTCTCGGTTAGCCTAATTTAAATGTGCATTAATGGGTTTAAAAAATATTAAAATATGAATTGGTTTTTAAAAAGATGAGATGATACTCTAAATAGGAATCTAAAACGGTCAGTAGGTAACTGTCAGACTGTCAACAAACAGCTGATTTATTCAGAAACAAAGCAAATTACTCTTTATGAACGAGTCACTGAATCATTGACTCACTCGATTTGTTAAAAAATGCGAATTCATTCAGTAACAAAACTGCTGTTTATTGCTCGGAGAGGCACAACAATTCTATTTTCATTTGCCAAACTGAGCAAAAACAGACAATATTGTATCTAAAATGTAACATAATATTAACTTCTTGTTTATTGAACTGTTAAATCTGGTTAAATCGACAGTCCTAATTTTCTTTTTCAGTTTAAATTACATTTACATTACATTTAGTCATTTAGCAGACACTTTTATCCAAAGCGACTTACAAATGAGGACTAACAAACGAACAACAATATATAAGTGCAAATGACAAGTCTCGGTTAGCCTAACGCAGTACACGTAGCAAGGTGTATATATATATATATACACCTTGTATATATATAAGTGGTGTGCGGTTCCTGAGATGCCATTTTCCAATAGGGTTGACAGGAGAATCTGGTGGTTCACCGTATCAAAAGCAGCAAACAGTTTAATTATCTTATACAAGATTTCCCTTTGTTTTAGTTTTTTTTCAAATTCAAATCAGCAAAAATTGCACTTCAGTCTGTAACCGTTTTTCTCTGACGCAGACCTGCATTCTGTCTGTATTCATGCAGATCATATATTTTAATGAGCCGTATAACAGCATTTAACCCATATCATTAGAGCAGCTTGCTCTTTCACCATGGAAAAGCCAAAGACTTTTTCTTAATTATGCTGTGTCGTGCGGGTCACCTTTACAGGTGTGTACCTCTCTGTGTGTGACCGTATTAGAGAATGATACCACCATTAAACATTTAGATGGAATTTAACACCCCTACACACACACAGACTGCCCCCTGTATCCATTAATTTCTAATCTGAATATAACAAGCTGTGTTGTCATTCACAAGAGCTGTCTGCCGGAGTGCTGAACAAGCCTGTGTGTGCATGAGAGAAAATCAGACAGTCAATAGAACAGAGACGATCAGTGACCAACAGAGAGCTGCGTTTAATCAGATACATTTGCTGAATTTGATTGAATCTCCACTGCAAACTTAATTAGAAGCCTGATTTAATATGGAACATCTGGTAAATGGTCCGTAAATATGATAATTATTGCCTAATTAGTATTTTTTTTAGGTGGAAGTTGCATGTTACTGAGTGTTCATTAAGATTTTCCCATTTGCCTAGATTTAAATTATGTGAATTTTGGGATATTGTGTAAAAAGTTGTATGTATAGTGAAAAGACATGCGCTTATTTAAGAATTTAAGAAAGTATTACCTTTAAATATTTCTGAAATATTCCCTCAGAGAAGAAAATATTACCAGAGCAGTATTATTGCATAGCATTTCATATGTTGCTTTTGTCATTGCAATGTTCAGATTTTTTTGTTTAATTTCACATTACAGCTTACAGCATAGCTACATCAGATGGTTTGTTGTGTCAGATATAGATGAGTAAATCTAGAGTAAGGTAATCTCTTTAGAAATCAAAATGATTTGACCTGTGAGCTCAACAGTAGTATCTCCTGAAAGACTGTTGTTAAATATTTAGCGCTTTCCTGTCATGAATACAAATGCTGTGTAAATGAGGGTCTATAGGCAGTTGACCCTGGGACTGGAGCCTGCTGAGTGGGGCTCACGCTAGCCTAAATGATTTAATTCTCATTACTTCAGCTAGTGTTTTAAGGAAACGCTTTGAAATACATCACCTGGTAAACGCCGCTCTTCCCTGTCTCTTAGAGCTCTTCTACTTTTGTCCATGGGGAAAAACTGACTGTTCGTTGGTTTGACACCACATGGTATTTCTGTTATTATGCAGTTTGCTTATATCATCATGAACTGCTTACGTTATTCTGCGTTGCGTAAGATACATTGTTATATACTACAATGGCCTTCAAAAGTTTGGAAATGCCCTTGGTTTCAAAGTGGGATTTTGGACAATATCAGCATCAGTCCTTATGATCTATTGATCGATTCAGTAAACTAACTTGAAAATCATCAAGAAAGATTTTCCTTTTGATTATATAATAATGACAATATATACATGTTCACAGTCAGACATGCCCCTTCGTCAGCTGTAATGCCTGATTACTGGATTCAACTCGGCTCAGGAATTGTTTTTTTTTTTTGTTAGATGTTTGGTTAAGCACACCTTTAAAGTTTGACACATTGATTGCTTATTAAGGCTACTACACAACAGACATTTATAAATTCAACAGTTTATAAATAGCTCTAGTACTTCCCTGCTGAATAACCCTGGCTGAAACACTCTAAGCTGGTCTCAACTGGTTATGATGGTCTCTCAGCGTGGCCATGTTGTGTTTAGCTGGTTTATCCCAATTTAGTCCAGCTGAAAGTGCTCAAAACCCTTTAAGACTTCAATGGTCAAAACCATTGTTCAGGGCTTTCATTGCTAAATGATCTTGTGTTTTCAAATGAATCAGTTGAGTCCATGATTCAATGACTCATTCATACAGACAGTCAGCTGAATCAGCTGTGTG